GGAGCAAAACACTAGCAGATAAAAATGTTAAGTTCAAGATCTCATAACTTATATTTCTGGAGATGTGTAACCAGTCAGTGGATATTCTTTTAATATTAACATCCTCACTGATTATAAGGTTGTCATGAGAATTAGGCAGGTGTTTTTTTTTTTTAATTTATATATGCATACAGAACTGGGGTACAGGCCAGAGGTGCAGGAGCAGTGAGAGGATTCACCAGAGACAAAGTGGGGAGCAGAACAAGCACATTGAGAAGGTACATTGCTGAGGAGAGCACTGGGTGGGTCAGTAGAGGTCTGCTGCACCATATGGTTCACCTTCAGGGCTGGGGATCGAACTCCGCTCTGAAGCGGATGAGACTCTCTTGCAGAGCTGCGCTTTAACAAGTTGTGCCACTAGGGAGGGCTTGGACAGGTGTATTTCTATTGAAACAGACAACTGCATCTTTACTCCTAAATGTTCCTAAAAATAAGCCTCTTGAAATCAAAGCTGATTCTAACAATGAAAATTCTTCAGGTTAAATAACACATGAAGACAGTTTCATCTAACATGAAAACGGTCTCTTCAGATTGTGAGTATAAAAGTAGAAAATAAGCTTACAAATTTAAATAAAATATGCTTATAACATCTCTGAACCCCAGAGATAAGGAGAAAAATCTCAAGTATTCAAAGACAGAGAGTAAAAGAAATTCTACATGTTATATACAAAGAAATGACAACTGATTGTAGATATAACTAGAAGCAATTGGAGCAGTTCCTCCCAAGTTCTGAGGGAAATTTACCTTAAACCAATAGTCCTACACTTCTGTCAATTATCAATTATTTGTAGGGGTAAAATATATCTCCAGTTCTCTAAGGACTTAACGCGTATGACACACAACTTATCATTATAATTCTAGTGATGGTGATACGAACAATTGGTTGTAACCTATGTTACAGGAGGAAAAGAGTAAGGAATCTAATGAAATAGTTGCACAAATATATTTAACATTTAACAAAAACACTTCTGTAGGCAAAGGTGCTAATGAGAAAAAAATGTATTTCCTTCCTTGTGAGTTCACAGTACCTCTTGGCTAGCATAACATCTTTTTTGAATCACAATATTATAATAGTATTTTTTTAAGGAAAGGTGGGCTTTTATGTGTGTACCTTGGAACCCAGATCATTCTGTGTCAGTTTTGGATACCATCTATTTATGCTCATATAATTAAATCATGTTCTAACAGCTGTAGTGGTGATAAAGCTGATGTTTTGATCTCCAGTGACTTACTATCAAATCTATTTTAAACTGTCAAAACAGAGTTTCTATTTAGTGGGTCCTAAAATACCTATGTCTCGATTCTACACAAAACTTAGGTGGTTAAATAAGATTCAGAAATGTGTGTATTTTTGAAATAGTAGACATATAAGTTTTTACTTTGCAGGAATTTCTATTAGCCACGAAAATATTTTTTTAATTCTATGGTTTTCCTTAATTGGCCATCCCAGCAAGTAACTTTAAGTTTTAGCCCAAGACACTAGCTTGGTATTTAAGAAGAAAGAATAAGTTCTTAAAGGTCTTGGTGACAGTAGTGAAGAGATGACTTGTAGTTATTACTTGAAATGTGACTTTTAGATATGAGAGAGATGCTTAGTTTGATTAAATTGAAAAGGTAGTTGGAATCCAATGAAACAAGACAAAGGATGGATAAGATCTTAGAGTAGGGGAACTCAAATGGGAGCCCACATTGAGAAAATTCTGGACTCACCATTCCCACAGAAGACACGGATTGAGAATAATATGTACCTCAGCCTTAAATATGAGGAGATCTACTATGAGGTTATCAAAATTTTTTTTTAATTGTCAAGATTTAATAGGAAGATCAGAAAAAGTGACATGAACACTCAAGGCTTACTCGAAGAATTTCCATTTGATGCAAATACTGCAGGTGTCAATGGTCTCTATATTAATCCGTTGGGGAAGTTTTAGAGTAGAAGTTAAAAGAAAGTACAACAAAGGCAGAAACGTGGAGAACCAGGCAGAATGATAACTGGTTTACTTTTGGCCAAGGTGAAATATAGTTCTGATGAAAGAATAGTCACCTGTGTGAATATACACATCTAAGGAAAGAAAAGGTTTACAAGATGTTCTGGGGTAGAGGGTGTTTCCCTACTTCTCATCGTAGGATAGGATGATAGTTGGAAATACAAGAAAAAATAAATGTTTCACTAAAGTAAAAGTAGAATTAAGCAGAAACACAAGATATAGTAATATGTCCTATCTATGTGATTTAATTTGCTGAATGGTAACATGAACTGCAAATTAGACCTTTGTTTAAGACTGCCATTACACATTTTTGAACTTTGCAATATTTTGAAATATCTTGAATACTGCTGTCTGAAAGTATCTTTCCCATATGGCTTTTAAAAATGTGTCATAATGAACACTATTTTAAAATAACACTTTTCCTAATTGAATTTAAATCACAGACTTTTAATTGTAGACACCTGATATTCAAGCAAAGTTGAAAAAAAAAAAGGGTTTTCTCTAGCTCTGGTTATTCCCAGTGAGAATAATGAAACTCTGATATGAATTTTGGGACATAATACTTTTTTTCTGGAAACAGACATGTGCAACCTAAGTGTTCAACATTTCAAAAGAAGTTGCTCTATTTTTGCTTTTTTATATTTTTTAAATAAAATATACTTGAGTTTCTTCCCATCTTACAAGACCAACATCCATGAAATTTGTACACAGAAAAATACATGATCTCTTAAATCATAAATAAAGAGGATATGATATCTTTAAAAAAGAGAGAGAATAGGTATTGATAAATGAAATCTTAAATACTTCAGGAAAGTTAAGAACAAGTAACTAATGTTTAATCACAAATAACAATATGAAAATTTGAGAGTAGTAAAATTTGAAATGATGTAATTTAAAGTAACTTATTAAGACTATTCTTCAAAACTCATTATATGAAGCCACTTCATTTACTGGTAAGGCAGAACCCAAGGAATACTGTCACGCAGGTTCTGAATAAATGATAGCACTTATTTACATAATTCTCCTGAACACTGGTATAATATTCATGTTCACAAAGTTCTTACGTTGGAATAATCAGTAAAAGGAAATTTTTTGTCTTACTTTCATGGCTCTTACTTTTATGGCTCCATCTTAAACAAAATACTACTTTTTTATTGAAAATAATTGAATAAGAAATGTTAGCCTTTATTGTAGTGTAGAATATTCTTGTCATTCTTCATGTTAAAAATATTCTAATTTGGTATACATTTTGAAATACATTATGTCAAAACATACACAGAATAAAATACAAAAGATCAGCATAATATTAGATCTTTAAGTCTATATTAAAATCATTGATTATAAAATTACTTAGGATTTGAGAAATCCATAAAATTAATATCAAATCTACTTAACAGTGTGTAAAGTTAATAACTGCTGAATTTTAACTGTTAGTTTAAAAAGTATTGTGTTCTTAGAATGTTTAATTTTAATTGTCACTAAAAAAGATATTTGACTTGGTTTGGTAAACAATGAACAAACAATATATTGCCTCAGTAATCAGCCATATATGCAATGTGGAAGCTGGTCAGATTGCCACTATTTGTAATATTTCACCATAGAAAATTTGGGAATTAAGCTTTAAAGGAAATAAACTGAGTCCATTAGCTAAGCTGCATTTTGATTATTCTTATTCATTTAGACTTGAAAATATTTTAAAGAAATAAAACTGAACTTGCTTTAAGCTTGAAAGAGGTTTGAAAGAACCTACAAAGAGGAAGATTTTTGGAAGAAATTCTCAGAAAGTTGAACATAACAGTCTTTGATAGGAGTCAATTCAATGAAAACATTTCAAACATCTTGGATAATACTTAAATATATTTTAGACAGGTAAGAAAAGAAATATTAATTACTGTTGAATATATCTGAGTAATCTCACTGTATTTAAAAATTAATGCTCCCAAGATCACTTATTTTTTTCTGTACAGTATTGCTACTGAATTTGGATATATACTCACTTTCAGTAAGTTGTAAATTAATGAAAGAGTTAAGACTGAACTTGCAACCTGCAACTCTGTATTTCCTTACTATTTGAAAATATCTGCAAAGCAAATGAAAAGGCAGATATGAGGCAAATTTGTTATCTTGAGTGTATATCCATGTGAGCATATGTGTCAAAATAATGACAGAGACCTGGGTATTCTTTCATAGGAAAGAAGGTGAAAATGAAAATTATAGCAGAATATAAAATATTTCTAAGAGAAAAAGAAGGAATAACCAATGTATTTTGGAATAAGAAGAGATGCTCTGGCTTTTAAAGAATGTGTTCTAGGGTGCTATTTCATCACTGAAAATGTTACTATGTATTTTAAAATTGTGCTATTTATGAACCCACTTGCTTTCCAACAGCTGCTAAGATTCAAAATTTGCCAATTTTTCAAGTGATGTAAATGTTCCATATTATATGTGAATGAAAAGATACACTATCAGTTTCCTGACAGATGCATAACAATCTGCTGTAAGCCTAAAATAAGTTTATATTCAGTCAGTCAGAAATGTTCTGCTTTTGAATACTCCATTTTAAGAGGAGATAGTTCAGTTGTTTTAAAAAATCACAAAGTTGGGATAGTACAGTCTCTCATTTTATCATATCAATTCAATACTGAATTTTTCAGTACTGAATTTTTCATCAAATAGAATATGACATTATTTGTAAGGATACATATAAATATTTTAAATATATTTGAGATTTAAATATATATTTTGGTCTCTCAGAAGAAGCTGTTATTTCTATTACAAGTCAGAGACTCATGCTCATTTCAAACTGTAGCCCATTATAGCTCAGAAACTTGAACACTGAAATGTTATAGAGAATTCCAGGATAAAGTCATTATGCTTATTTTTTCATTCCAGCTATTCTCATTTAAGTTCCCCCACAACAATGATAAAGAATAAATAAAGTTAGAAAAGGAAGAAAAAAGTCTCCAAACCTACTTTTTCTTTAGTCTTCTATCCTTCTCAGCTTGAGTTCCAAGTTTGCCTAACCCCAGGGACTCCTGAGCTGCAGCCTCAGTCTCCATAAAGCCTCCTGTGAAGAAGCAACTATTCATGTTAGCTTGCATATTCCATATCAATTCTGAAATTATAAAATTACATTCTTGCACAAATGTAGAATCACATTTTTTGAAAGTTGTTTTTATATTTGCAAGCCAACATATGTAAAACAGAAAGGGTACATAAACACATGTGTGGAGAATGAAGGGGATGAGGGGAAAAGGTTACCTATTGCAACACCATTAAATTCAGCAGAACCTAAGGTGTTTACCTTCAATTCCAATTTGAGGGAATGGAGAAACATTTGCTGAATTTTAATTTTTTCATATACTGGTTCTGGAACCTTCTGCTTACCTAGATGATTCATACATCTTTAAGTATAAACCTTATATCCACCTTTCTTATGTTTGGCAGGTTTTGCTTTATTTTGTTTTGTTTCATAATAATGTCTGGGAAAATATTTTTACCCAGTGGTTTACACATTTGGGTTAGTGTCAGTATCATTTGCTTTGACACTTGTGTGTGTGAATATATACATATACATCTATACACACAGTGGTTGAAACCTTGCAATGAAAGGAGGGGAAGAAGAAATCTTGTGCATCACACAAAGAATTCCATGTTTTTACAATATAATTATTTCATTTAGAATCCTCAAACACATAATGCATAAGTTGTATATCTTAATAAAAAATGAAAGCTTAATCCTGAGCTCTGTATTCCCTTTGGTATTTGCTATACGGGAAAAACATGAAGTTAAGTAAGATAAATAAAAAATCGTCACTATTTTAAGTGAACTAGGATATATATTTATATATACACACACGTATACACACACACATATGTACATATGTAATGGAAGGGATTTAAACTTCACTTAAACTTGATTAGGTAAAACTCAAAGCTTCAATGTGCTTTAAACAAACCGTTACAAAGACTACACAATATATTTCACCAGTATATCAATACATAGAACTATTAAAGACAACTTCTACTATACTGTCATTGCAATGGACATTTCCCTACTTAACATTTGAAGGGCCAGATTATAATGTATTTGACAGAATGGCACATCTTAATAAAACACCGGAGACAATTTTGTGGTTATTGTTTTACATATTTTGTCTTAAATAATGTATAATACTTTGAAGAATAAAATTGGAGTATTATTATAAATATGCTAACCTCATACTAGCAACTCTATTACTAAATGAAAGGAAAGTACTCTTTCTTTATCTAACTCAGGGACCCAGAGTTTGACTATCAAGTTTACTTGATTATGCTCATGTGCAATTAATACTTAAGATTTTTTTACTATGGATATTTCCATTCTTCATTCTTGGTATCTTTAGGAAAGCATTCCCCTGTCAATTATAGACTTGGGGGTCATTTTTAAGTGTGGGATTTTTCACTATGCTAAGTGAGTGAATATTTTCATTTTGCTCCTATTATTGGTGAATACTTACTTTACTGTACATCCATAAATTACTATGCATAACCTGATAACCTGCAGTTAACAATAATATTGTTCTCTTGAAATGGAAATGGAAATGAATGATTTACTTAGAAGTACAAAATTCCTGATCAGTCCAAAGGGATACATAAAGACTGACAAAAGAGACTCTTAATAAGTAGTGAAGCATTCTCAATAAACACATGGTTGGGTGAATCAGGCCTTTCATTCTTCCTAATGAAAACTAAGTTATTTTTAAAATTTTTTGCAAGAACCAAACATTTTAATTAGGAAAAAAAGAACTTTTTTTTTTTTTTTTTTTAAATGGAAGGTTGGGAAGAGAACCACAGCTCCAGAAGAATATCTAAATCTGGTGACAGTCAGCTTCATTCTGCCAGAATCAATGGACTCTTTTGACTCTCTGGACTTCTGGAGTTTCTACACCAGCACTTCATTTGCTCATCACAGACAGTTATTTGAGCACTGGAGATGTGCCAGTTACTGGCTGTTAAGTGAAAAATACACACAAGACCTTACAAATTCAATTAGAAAAGAATATAAGATAACCAATCAATAATTTTATATTGACAACATGTTGAAATGGTAATATTTTGTTACATTGGCTTATAGAAATAATTCATATTAGAAGTAATCTCACTTGTCTCTTTTCTCCCTGTGGCTACTAGGAAATTTAAAACTGCATGTGACTTATTTTTGGTTTATTTTATATTTATTGATGCAATGTATCAACCAGTGGTTCTCAAGTGGAAAATGGTATTGTAAAGTCGAGGCAGCTGCGGCAAAGAAAAGGCGGGAACCTTGAATTTGGGGCTATTACTGTCTGCAGACCGGTAGCCTCCTAACCTTGAACCTCCTAAACTGGGTTATTCATTTGATCACTTTCTTTCCATATGATCAGTCTATGCCTAGTGGGTGTGCATGCAAAATCCAACCCAAATCCTTGCCCTCAGTGAAGACCTCTGAATATCATCACTCAGACACACTCACTCTGGTAAGTCTTCCAGGACTGAAAGTGTTGCAGTCAGGAATGTTCCTAGGATTAGGGTCTTCATCAAGCATGTCCTCCCAGCTCCCCTTCTTTACAAACACAGTTTAAACAACCCAAAATCAGTGGGACAACAATCTTGTGATCTAATCTTGTTTACCATTCCACTAGCAGGCGTGAAGGATGTATTTGTTGGAACATTCTCGCTACTATGGTCAAGCCAATAACCTAGAACACCCACATAGGTTGCAAGGTTCTGGGCTCCCTGAGACCTCAGGTCATGCTCATTCATGGGTTAAAGAGTAGGAAATACCCCGAGGAGAAGAACCAGGGGACTAGGACCACAGGTCTGGTTGAATCAGACACCATCTCCAGGTAGCACTGCATCCTGAATGATCTTAGGGTCTAAAGGGTAATGGAAAACTTCAGTGTTTGTATGATATCCTTGCAGGTCCAGGTCTTAGTGGAGGATACTTTTCCCAGAATATAGTGCCAACTGGCCTCCCTCATTAATGGGAGTCTCAGGAAGGAGAGCATGCCTTTGAGAATTTCAAGATAGGTGCTGCAAAGAATGAGGTTTTCTGTGGTTCAGACTGAGAAGCTAAAGGAAGGATCACTGTGCTCAGATCTCTGGAAGGCAGTGGTCCAGAAAGGCCTCTTTACTGGGATTGTGAGGGCAAGTCTTTATATTACCTGAGCTTGAGATTTCACTAAAAATTATTTACTTCTACTAATAACTTATCTCAGCTGAACAGGATTGAACCTATGGTCAAGCCAATAACCTAGAACACCCACATAGGTTGCAAGGCTCTGGGCTCCCTGAGACCTCAGGTCATGTACAGTGTTGTACACCAAAGTTACATCAATTGCAGAATTAATACAATTTTTAAAAAGCTACATCTATAGGAAGTCCTTTCCCAAATCCACATGTTCAGCAAGTCCTTATGAATATATAAAGCAGAGGACTCTAACTGCAGAGGTTATAAATAGAATCTTCTACTCATCTTTCTTTTATTTGACCTCTTTTCAATATCCATGTCATTCATTTTATATTTAAACACATTTGAATTTATGAATCGTTACTTAATTGTTTTATGTCTGTTAGTCTTTTGTCTCTCTGGAGGATGATGCATGGAGGTCAATCGTGGTGCATAAAGGGTATGGAATAAATTCATTCTTTATTGAAATTAAATACTGCATTCTTCAAAGTAAGGCCCTTTCACCTTGTAGAGCATGAATCATGATTAATTGATACTCTGTGGAATTCATATTGTATCTGTTGATTCCACAGCATCTAGGAACAAGACAAATATTGGGTGAAGGCCAGCACAGCCACCCAAATTTTATGTATAGAAATGTATTTGGTAAATGATTTTCATACAATGTGGATGTTATTTTTGTCACTTTGAATTTATCTTCTTTATTATGCTAATAATAGCAGGTCAATGAACTCAAACAATTTTAATAGAACCCAGCAGAGTAGATAAGGAAAGGGAATTGCAATTTTAGCAGGGGAAAAAAGCTCTTCAAAATAGTTTCCCATATGCTTTTAAGAAAATTTGCAAAAGTAGTTTTCATTTTTTTTTTAACTCGGGAATATAGGTACATGCACTTTTGTATGTAAAATGTGTACCCAATTTTATAAAATTGGGGATTCTAATATTGACATTCATTATATTTTTTGGTTTCTACTATTTTTTTCACTGCTTTCCTGGATTCAGTACTATTTGAGCTGTTTTCCATTCTTGAAAATCTTTTTTTTCTTTAAATGTCTTTGATTTTTTTTTTGTCCTTCTTTGCAATGTGTCAATGGTCTATTCTTTATTCTTACCATTCACTGCTAGCATCAGCTTAGTTAGTCACATTTACTTGGCTCTTTTCTTTACAGTCATTATTAGGGCTCTTCAGAGAACTAGCATCTCCCAAGCAATTCAACAGGGATGCATTAAGATTATACAAAGCAAATAATTCCCCTAGGAGTGAATGTTGTATAACACCCCTCCTTCTCTACACCTTGTCACCATGCCCTAAACTGGTAAGCTGCCTCTGCAGCATCTGGTTACTCTGCTCCTAACTCTCACTTCTGCTTGGATACTTGACCTGGCAGAAGACCATGTCACCCAGCAGCTTTCCTATTTGAAATTTTAGCTTGGCTTTAAGTTGCTGCCTCCCACCTCTGCATTCCTAGATCTTTTCTTGGCCAGGTAAAATGACCTTCAGTTTTGGTTTTTCCCTTTCTTTGATCATTTGGTTTCACATTCCAGCCCACAGCTAGAACATTTTTCTGGTAAATCACAGACAAAATCCAACTTCTTTTCCATCACATTCCCCTTGGAATTTATTTTTTCATGTGGTTTCAGTACCCTTTTCTCAGACATAAGTTCTACTTGAATTCTAGTATAGCTTTTCCAGATCCTTTCCATTTTCAACGAAAATGCTTGCAATAGACACCTCAAGACTAAAAATTAGGAACAGTGGAATTAAACTAACCACTGAACTGTATTCCTTCTTCAGGTTGCTAATGCCCTAAACTTCATTCTCTTTCTAGGACTGTTGATTCATTGATTTGCACCCT